TCAATTTATATGTATTTAATATAATTTTATTTTTTGCATCGATTTTTTTTTTCTTTCTTTGATAATTCTCAATTAGCATAATGACAAGTGTTAACAATGTATCTTCGGAATATTAAAAAAAAACATTGACTTAACGAATTCATAAATATACACTTACGTGTATAATTTATTTATAAATTATAATATTAAATTATAAAATTATAATCTTACGCTTTAATATAATTTTTTTCATTTCGATATTAATTTTAAAGCAGTAAATAGCTTGTATTACATTGTAACATTGAATAATATTTTTATTTTAGATCAAATATAAAATTTAATATCATTAAACATTAAAAATTAAATTTAAAATTATTATCAATAATAAATAATAAATAATAAATAATAATAATAAATCTCTATTGTTTAATTAAATATAATTAGGTTTTAAAATTGATTTTTTTAATTGAAATGAAGACTCTGAAAAAATCAAAATTGAATAAGAATATACATAATGTATTTATATATTTTATAAATTTTACATATATTTAAAATAAATGAAAATAAAATTTCATCTAATTGTAAGAATTTTAAATATTATTCTTTATGATTCATTACATTCGCGAATACTCAACGACAAATAATGCGATTGGAATATGTAATACATTCTCATAAACTTTGAAATAATATGCGAATAAAAATAAATTATTTTTAAATTATATTTTAATATTGTAAAGTTTTTAAAGCAAAGCGGAAAAGAACAAATAAAATTTTAGTCTTATAAAAATTTTCGAATTACAGAATATTTTTTGCTATAAAGATTGTCTATTCAAAAATATATAAAATCTTGAAAATATCTTCTCCGAACATATCTTAAAACAAATCATATCTTAAAACATATCTTAAAACATATCTTAAAATAAATCTATCTTGAATCATGATATCTTCAGACATTCTTTTTCCAAAACTTTTAATGCCATTATGTAATCAGCCACAATATTCATACATTATAAAAACTATATTAAATATTATTATAACTGCGTTAATATTAAAAAGGGAAAAGAAATAATTTGTACATTTTTTTCTTTATCTAAAATAAAAGGGCACAATGAATTCGATAATAATTCATCGAACAATTAATACTCGAAATGAAATTGTTGTGTTATAATCAGGAAGATATTGTTTGATTAAAAGAAATGGCTCATCAAGAGAATCCATATCAATCAAAATCATATTTATTTGAAATAAATAATGCGAATGTAAAAATTAAATAACAAAAAGTATGATCTTTGTTCTTAATAAAATATTATTTTTTATATGGAAATAATATCAATTTAAATTTATTATAATCATATAATTATTTTATTTATTTTCATTTCCATTATTTATACTAATATATTAATATACAAAAAATTCAGAATTTAGAAAGAAAAATCGCAAACTGGAATAATGATATTGTGTAACTTGTTTGTTAGGTATATGTTTGTATGTATTTTTATCGTATATTTACTCTTTATATTTATTAGATATTAGACATTATTATAATAATAAATATAATTTTTTTCGCATTCTTTTAAAAATGAAAACATATTAATAATTTATGCATGGTATATAAGCATTGTATGCAATGATTATTAAATTCCATTTTAAATTCTATATTAAGTTTGTAAAAAGAAAAAATTTATCAAATAAATAAATCATAAATCATACATAAATAATAAGAAGGAAAACACATTTGTACAATGATATCTGCCATCATTACCTTATTATAAAATATAAGAATTCTTCGTGAAGAAAATTTGGATATATTTGCTATTTATATAGTTATGATACATTAAACGTAGAAAAAATTACAGATATATCGCATTCAAAATATATTCAAATATATATATATATATATATAGATTTTCTTTTTTTTTTTTTGCAATAATTTTTTGTATAAAAATAAAATTATTTAAATTATTGATTACATGATCTAATTATTTTTAATATATGTATCGTATGTAATATGAACAATAATGGAAAGCGTATACAGCTTCTCAAAGTTATAGCCAATTTATATTTATATTTTTAATCTGATAAAAATAAAAAGATATAAGAGAACATCATTTAATTTGATATTTTATATAATAAGAAAAATATAAAATATACTAAAAATAATGTTATAAAAAAATATATATAATTTAAAATCCATAACCTTCAATAAGTACCGAAGTTTTATTAAAAATAAGAGATATTTTATGATTTGAGAGGAAACATAATATACGTAATACATGCCATTTACGTCACCGAGGCCTAAAAATCTAATTATAAAATAGGGAAAAAATACCATTACCGACGAAATCAGTGCAATCAAGATCGAACTGCATCGCTCTCTCTCGAGATAAGTTTTCTCAGAGAGACATTTTCCAACAGTCGCAGAAGGAATGCACACGAGGTGAAGCCTGCATGACGATCGGCTGTGTAAAGGTGCGTTCACATTCAGTAATCGGTCGGGTCGTGTCAGTTGCGTTCCAACGATGTGCGCAAACGATGGAACAAACCTGCGCAAACGATGGAACGAACCTGCGCATACGCGCGTCTGACTATGGAGAAGGGAGTAAAAGGAGTGGGGAGCGAGAGAGCGGGTAGGCTGCGGTGGCGAACGAGCGATGCTGATATGAATGGAATGCGATGCCATTATCGTAGTGTATATACCGATAACTCGATGCCCCGTTCAGCGAACGAAGGTGCTTGTACGGATCAAGCAAAACCTCTTAACTTTCCAACAATCCTATCTTCTTGCACAAACGCATCCTCCATATGCTTTTTCTTTTTTGCGTTTTCGAACAGACTCGCGAAATTAAAATTTGAAAATCATACGATCAAAACTATCTTGAAACTATCTTCATTTTATAAAATGAAAGAGGATACCAAAAAATATAATATAAGGCATATATAAAATATAATTGAAATTATATTTAATATGTGTTTATTAAATATAAAAAAGTATAGATTTTCTTTATTTTTATATCAGCTTTACTTTTTATATCAGTAGACTTTATGAGACATGATTTAAATTTTTCTATCATTCATGCATTCCGGTCATTCATTCCACTTAATCATTCCACATATTCATTCGTGTTTGTCGCTTTCACCAACGTTTCAATGGGGCCACTGGACAGTTGTCCAGTGAATATAATCTACATAATCTTCAATATTGGCATCATGCAATCTTTCATCGTTGAATTTTTCCAAGTATTGATTCCATTTCAATGTTTTTTATTAATGCTTTAGAATGTTAATGCAAAAAAATATTTTCTCTGTCACATCAATTTAATTCTCATAATGAATAATTTCAATTAGATTATGTAGTTTTAATATTATTTTAATTAGATATATATGTATATTAATAGTTATATTCAATATTTCTTTATAGAGTCAATTTTTGCTAATAGTATCTCTAGCACTATTATATTTTTAATAAATATAGGAACAATAAATTTTTGAAATCCATATTTAATTTTAAAATCATAAAAAAAAGAAGGAAAAAAAGAAAAGAGAAAAAATAAGAGGACAGAAAAGAATATATTGTAGATGTTTGAAAAAAGAATACAGAATACATCCACATTTTTGTACCGCCCTTCTGGGAAGAACAACGTGGAGAAAAAGTTAGAAATCCTGACGAATGTATTCGGTATGCATATCATTTTACCGAGCTCTCCCTTTCGGAGAAATCGGCATCTGATGCTCGTGCATTCCCTTTGAATGAATGTCGAGCGTTATATTGAGATTTCAAAGAAATCGGCATATCACCGAAACAAACATGACGAGATAAAAGCAACCCTTGGATCAGTCCGTTACGCGATCGTAATAATGACTCATATTCGATATTCATTTTGGTAATTAATATAATTATATAATTATAATTAATTGCGTTTTTCAATTATTATTATTTAATTTAATTTAACTTAAATTTAATTTTTACTTTGTTAACAAAAAAAAATCAAATTAATAGAATTTGAAAAAATAAGTATACATTTAATAAGTGTTACATTTAAACCTTGTAATAAAATTAAAATTTAAGAAAGGTCAATTTGATATGTTATTTTTTAAATTTACATAATAATTGAACTTGAATGTGATTTAAAAAAAAAATAAAAAAAAGTTAAGTATTTGCTCTGAAGTATTTGAAAATAAATTTTCTTAGATTTTTAATTATATATCATAATAAAATAATTAAAAAAATTTAAAAAGAATTCCATTTATAGTATTTATAATAAATTTGTTTAATTTTCTCTGGCTGATTTCTTTTTTTAGTAATAAACTAAAGAAAAAAAAAAATTATAAGAAATATTATTAAATTGCAGAATTAACTACTGTTGACGAAGAAATGTAATATTCGTCGCGATAATAATAAAATGACATTTTACGTGAATATTTACTTGCTGTGATTCATTGGAAATGATAAGAGACGATCTTGTAGATTTAGACGAAAAGTTTTTGCATTTCACCGTTTTTCATGAATTAAAAAAATTCGACATATAATATCAATACATTCAACAATTTAGATAATAGTTCGAGAAAAAAATTATAACAACTGATCAAAATGCATTGTTATTAGAGTTCCGAATAAATATTATTTTCATTCGTTTATAGAGGAAATACTCGTTTATAGATTAAACAATTTAAAAATATTTTTAAATGAAAAATGATAAAATATAATTGATGATTAAATTCTAAATCTTTGAGAGATTGCGATGAGGAAGTAGTTTCTTTTTTAAAGAAATTATGATAACCAGTAGCCAAGATCGGAATCTGGGATATGTCATTTAGCTGTTAATTATCAAGCCATGATAAGTTTCTGACAATTAATCTTCATGCATTCCTGTGTTGATAAGAAGCAATCAAAATTTTGTGAGTCAAGCTTGTTTCTATAGTCCAAGACGTATACATTCAAGGAAAAAATGCAAGTTGTCGAGTGCAATGGCAATTAAAAATATATTAAAAAAATTATAATATATATCGATAAATTAATATAATTTAAGACAATTTCTACAAACTTTCAATTGTTATAACAATTTTAGAAATTTTTTATTTTTTGCCTTTTATTCTACAGCAACTAACTAATTCCTAAATTTGATAAGTAATATCTTTAATGATAATTACAAGTATCAAGACTGTTACTTCTTTCAGCTTCTTGTATGAAAAATTTTCGATATTAAAGTCACTTAATAACATTGTAGTTTATTTAAATGACTTGATTAGATATCTCGCGACTATATTATTCTTAGAATCAATCCCGGAACATTTCGAACTTGTTTTTGTCATAGCATAATAAATTATCAAGAATAAAGGGAAAAATAAAAATGAAAATTCTTTTTGATTTTTCTCGATTTTTTTTTTTTGATTTGATAATATATAGCATATATAGATATTATAATATATAAAATTCTACAATTATTTCGATATTTTTTCTATATTTTTTATATTTTCACACAATTCAATGTTATTCAATTTCATTAAAAAAATTTTATATTTTATATTATAAATCTGTAAAATCGATCTCAAATATGATAATCAGAATAAACGATAAAATTTAAAAAAAAAAAAATACAAGAAAAAAAAGAATGAAGTTAAAGAGAAACAAAGAAGAAAAAAAGAAGCGAAATTCCAACGAGCGTCTAAAAATAATCGGTTACAAAAAGGAATAATAACGCATGTTCATATGTATATCTGGTCGTCGAGTAAAAGCGTCGGCCTATTTATGTATCACATGGTAAAGATGGAATCTCGATCTCTTCGCGTGGTAGTTAACATTGTTTGCCCCTGGAAGAGAGGCTAAGGAATGTGAAAAGCTGCGTTGGCAAATGGCGAGCAATATCGTAATGTTGGTTGCTCTTCTTACTGCTCTCTCCATTTTTCTTTACTTCCAAACTATCTACGTCACGTCCGTATTTGAGATTATCCAAAATTTTTTGCTTACTATTCTTTAAACAAGAAATAAATTGTTTTATCTTTGTTTATAGATAAATATACATGTATATTATGCAGCGAATTTGAAGTTGATGAATCTATGTAATAAATATATTTTGAAATAATGTGTTACATAAAATATAATGAGAAAAAAAATAATAAATGCAAAGTGCGAGCTACATTGCTATATAATGATAATATTCTATATTTCTTGATCATCCTATTTCTTTCGCGCGCAAAAGAGTAAACGGTATAGTCGATTCGCAGTACCATGGGGGCATCATCCAGAGTATCGAAGGACAGTAGCACATCCGCTCGTGCACACGATCGTACACCCTCGGGAGTCCTCGTAGCTCTTCGTGAATCCGTTCGTGGACCGCCTGGGGGCCCTACGAGCGTAACACCGGTAGCCACTACGCCAAAAGGGTCGCATTCGCGCGGGAAGAGAGAAAAAAAGAGAAAGATAGAAGTATACAGACAGAAGGAGACAGAGTGAAAGAAGCAACTGAGGATGGAATATCCAGGGCCGAAGCCTGAGAAAGAAAACTGTAGATTTGAGAGAACTGGCATCTTTTTTTCAAGATGCATTTAAACTTAGAAAAAGTATTCATTTTATTAACCAGTTAATATTCTTGAATATATTTTCATCCACACTAGATTATACTATTCATGATTTATTTTTCTTTCCTCCTATCATTCTACTAATGATATTTACAAGTTGAATGTTTTTTGGACTTATAAGACATTTATTATTATCTAAATTTTATTGAAATTTTTATAATATAGAAGCAAAATAATGAGGAATAGATAAGAAGACATCTTGACCTATTGCTAGTTAGAAATTCTAAAATTAAATCTCAAGGCAAATTCCTTCATATTTTATTTTTATTTTTATTAAAAAATATTAAATATATAAAAATATTAAACATTTTATTTTTATTAAAAAAATACAACTTTTTATGTTTATATAAACATTTTATGTTAATTATAAACATCATTTTATAATAAATTTAAAACATAATTGTGTATATTAAATTTTTTTACAGAAATCATTCAATCAGGAAATAATTCCATATAATTCAAATAATTCTAAATAATTTCGATATAAAAAGTTATATCTGAAAAAATAATATTACTAAACAATTATTTTAATATACTTTGAAATAAAATCACGCATAAATTCTAACCGCGAACATACGTGTAAATTACGAAGCGCCAAATAGCTTGAAAACTATGAAAATGATCGCTAAAGATAAATTAAGTCCATCACTAGTGCAATTCTTTTCGTCATTCTTTGATTGTTTTTTTCTTTTTTATTATTTGCTTTTTTATTATTATACCTTGCATGCTGGGATCTAACGAAATAAGAATATAACATTAGATGAACAGAGAAAGAACGGAGCGGGGGAGGAGAGAGGAAATCACTGGCAGCGGCCACTATAGGTACGGAGCCACAGGGGGGAAGGAGTGGAGGAAAAGTAAGGAGGGGGACAGGGTTCGAACGGACGGGAGACATTCCAATCTCTCGTGGCAAACTTGCCTGCTTTGCTTCGTTCGCTTGTCTGCTTGCCCGTTTGCCAAGATATCGTCGTCCTAAAGCCGACCCACACTACATCGAATGGCATACGTAACCATATAATCTCATACGATTATAAAATCGATTTTGAAGAGAAAAGTATTTCTTAAAAATCCAGATTCGATATATATCGTATATATCGATATATATCGTATCATATCATCAAGATCGCCCTCGAATAGAGAAGAGATTCGATGACATACATTCGATGTCCATGACATATAGGTTATGTAACATCATGTAACATTTAATGATATTTTATTTATAGATATTTTTATATACAATTCATTTCTTTTACATATTTACATAAACAAAATTTTTTATATAATTTATAAATTTTTAAACAAATTTAGAAATTAATTTAAAAAAAACTGATCAAAATTTGACTCTACTGGGTATACCAATGATGATGTCAATGACTACGAAACCGTTATGATGCATATATGCAGATATAAAAGAATGTCCTTGGCGAAATACGTTATGTATATATGTAATAAGTATGTAATATTTTGAGGTATACATAAAGGTATATGTACATGTATTTCAGTATTCGATATATATACTTTCTTTGACAAATAAACTTATGCTTGCATAACTAAATAGAACCAACATTGCTTTGGAACATTAAACTTGGTATATCTTAAATTAACAGTCAGACGCCGGCTAATTATTCCTATTTACTAGAAATAATGATACTTTTTATTTTGCATGAACTAATGTGAACAAGAATGAATTGAGATTGGTCAGTGATAATCGTCATAAGAAATTATCTATTATTTATTATTTATTGATTATACAATAAAATTCCTTATTTTTTTAAAATAAAATTTTCAAATTTAACAAAGTTTCAAATTGAAATTAATAAATTTATAAGCTTTTATATATTATGAATTAATGTTATGTCGAATGTTATTTCATGTGTATATTATATATAATGTATGAACGTCTGTTCTCCAATTATATGAATCAATGAAAACAGAAACGTAATGTATTAAGTTAATGCATTATATAATTCGAAAAATGAAATGTATAATTGAATTAAATTATATGGACATAAATTTTTGATATTTTAATAAAAAAAAAAAGATTTTTCTTTAATTGGTTACAAATCTAATCTCAATTTCAATTTCTTCATCTAAAATTAGTTTTATATAATAAAAAACATTTGGTAAAAATAAAAAATTAAAGTATTATAAATTATTGAATAAAATAAAATCAATGAAAATTATTTTTAAGTGATTTAACATCTCCAAAAATTTGTTGATCAAATTTTTGAAATTTAATCTCGAAAATTTTAATCATTTGAAAATTTGAAACAATTCGAATAATATTTCTTTTGAATTCTTTATATTATTAATTTAAAGCATCAATAGATTCATAAATTACCTTCTAATAATATCATAATCGATTTTGTATTATTTGTTTATGCAAGACAACAAGACGCGACGAGCGATACGAGAACTGAGTGAATAAAATAAATAACAATTAAAATTCCATTTGCACATTTTCTGAATTATGAGACATTATAGAGGAGGAAAGAAACTAGCAGAGCATATTACTAGTGAGAGATTAAGAAAAATATTAAACACGATGATCAACGAAGAAAAGATAATCTATATTATGCAATTTACGTTCAAAATTTTAAAAATCTAATTTTTCACAATATGATTTTTTTTCTTTTCTTTAGTTAATAATCAAATAAATTATGATTATTTAAATAAATTTGTAATTTTAATTCATTCCATCGATAACTATTAATAATATTTAATGATATTGTACTAATCTACTAATCTATTAATTATTTATTTATTATAATTTATTTTTACATAAATTTTTATTATTCTCTTTTTTTCTTCTTTTTCTTTCTTTCCTTTTCTTTTTATTCATTTTTTAAAATCAAACCAAATTTTTAGTTTTTAATTTGTATTTTTGTATTCTTTATAATACACTGTTTTTAAATTACATAAAAAATCTATACTCATTTTATTTTAAATTTATTCAACTAATTAATTAAATACCGTAAAGAACACTAACCCAGTTAGATCAATGAATTATTTAAAAAGATAAGTTAGCGGAAGTATTACGGTATATCCTAGTTTTTTCTGTTGTTTATCTCAATTATGATTTTTTTATATATCTACATATAGAAAATCCAAGAAATACATAATTAATATATATAAATACATAATTTTTTTCAAAAAGATTTTATTTATTATATCGATACTATATTTATAATTATTGCCAATTATTATATTGTAATTATATATTATATATTATATATTAATATAATTATATTAAAACAAAATCCTATTTTAGTGTTATTTATTTTTGAATATTCAAGTATTAATTATTAATACTAATATTTTATTAGTACTAGTGCTAATAAAAATAATAACAAAATTTAATAATAACATTTATTTATAACTAATTTATTATATTTAATTATATTTAACTCGATGAATTTTAAAATAAAAATTATAACAATTTATTTTAAATAATTTTTTTAGAAATTGAAGAATTTCAAATTTGCTATTGCAATTTATTAATAAATAATAGAGAAATATTACATTAATTTAATTGATCTCTATTGGATCATAAATTAAAAAATACTTCGTGATCTTTTTTGAATTTCTCTGTATAAAACTTTCGAAATTCCTAAAGATTACATCATATGGCGTCATCGATGTTCTTTAGTTTCATTACCATTGAGATATAAAAATTATTATTTAAAAATATCATGGAAATTGTTTATGTAAATTGTTTATGTAAAATTCCGTCACATAATGAATCAAAAAATTTGTTTTATAATTTTAATTCATATGATATGAATTTGAATATGATATAAATTTTTTTAACATCTTATTATATACATATACTTTATACGAGAAAAACCAATGCTAATTAATTTCAATTTCTTATTTTAATCAAAAAGCTAGCAACTCATTGTTGCAAATATAATACTTATGTAATTTCTAATAATAAATATCTACATAGTCAAATTTTTATATCCTTATAATTATATACAAGTATAATTTTACTTTTTCATTCATTACTATTTCATTCTATTGTAAAATAAAAACATTCTATTGTAAATTAAAAAAGCAAATTCATCCACAATCGATGGCTTGTACTGCATTAGATAATTAGAAATATATAAACAATAATTGATGAATTATTTTATACATGATTGTACAAAATAATAATGTAAATGGCGGCAAATGATTGGTAAAAACAATTTCGTATGAAAATTGTAACAGAGAAAAAGACATAAAATATAAAAGAAAATGCGTGAAAACGCAATATAAGGAGCAAAAGAGAGGACTATTTATCGGAATGCAAGTTATAAGCCAAGCCAATGGCGTATATTTGTAATAGCATATTACTTACAATGCAACGTGCATATCTATTTATCTAATGCGTGAAATTTCCAAGGAAGGAAGCCTTATGACGAGTCCTCGTGAAACACGTGTCTCGACGATCGATTACCTTTTTTCCTGACACATGAATTACGTATCGTCACGAAACGACTACCGGAGAATGCGACAACTTCCGACCGGAAGTTCTTCGCAATTT